GAGTGTTTGGATGAAACACAATCTTATGATTTCTTGGAAGAAGGTAATTTCTAAACATTGTTTGGATTATGTTATCTATTTTAAATAAATTGTTAAATTTAGCTTTGAATTGTAGATGACAATCACGACATGACCAACCTCAACGTCAAGAAAGCGAAAGCATCGGGTTCGGGGTTGGAAACGTCTAAAACTATTGTTGTAGATTGATGTATTATCATTTGGTTTAAACATTTTTATTGTAATATCTAAATATTTGATGAACTTGCATATTATCTTGAATGGGCGGTCGTATTTTAAAGGAAAGTTTCCTTTATTTTTATGTGATTTTACATTGTTTAAACATAACCCGATCAACCCGAACGGGTTGGGTTGGGTTGGGTTGAACTTTTGTTTGGGTTGGGTTGGGTTGAAAATTTTCAAACCGCCAACATTGGGTTGGGTTGTTAAAACGACTCCAAACCGATCAACCCGGGCCGTGAGCACCCCTAGTGCAAGGTAACGGGAATGGACACGGGTGGTGTAGGGCAATGGGTGGAGATATGCATGATGGCCCGATGTTAGTTTTTAGGGTTTTTTTTTTCTAATTTGTATTTTACCTGTTAAAGAGGTTGTCAGTTACCTTAAAGATGTATCTAACATGTTTTAAAAAGTCCAATTAGTTATTTAACAGGTTTTGGAATGTCCAAATACTTATTTGTTCCAAAAAATTGTCCGATGACTTAATTATTCCAAACACCAAAGTCCATTGAGTTTTTTTTTCCGACTTTTCCTAAACAATTTTGACAAAAATATTTCTCTTTTCCTTTCGAAATAACGTTCCATCTCAAAATATAAAATATCTATAACGAAAAAGATATACACTTAAAAGAATAAATAGTTACTAATTATTAATTAATAATAAGACAATTCATTAGCTATACAGAGATAATTTTCTCCATCTTATAATCAAGAGTAGAATGAAAAAATGGACATTTTTTAGAACAAACTAAAATAGTAACGTAGATACTTATTTTAGGACAGAGGGAGTACAATATTTCTATTTTTAGATTAAAAAAATATATCTTTATACAAATTAATAGTATTTGTCATCTCAAAACGAGTACCCATATTTTTATTTGTCGTGTAACAAGTGTCCACTCTTCAAAAGTAAGGTGGCGTTTGTTTTTTAAGAGGTGCTGAAATCTGAAACCAAAGAGAGATCGAGAAGATTACCAGAACACCAGCTTGTTACCAGAACACCAGCTTGAATCTGCGATGTATGAAGAACACCAGCTTCAATCGATGAATGGGACGAGAGCGGATGAGAGCGACGTAAAGGAGGCGGATGAGAGCGACGTAAGGAGGCGGATAAACAAATAAGAGGTATTAAGAGCTAGGGTTACCACTTAAAAATTCAGAGGAAACCTTATGAATTCAGCTCTTAATTTGGGGGAAAAAACAAACGATCTGAAAGTCTATATGTCTGACCGATTTAGACATAAGAGGAAATTAAGAGGCAAATTTTAAAAAACAAACAGGCCCTAAGTATCTATTTTCCATTTTACCCTTAATCATGAGACGAAGAAAAAATTTGTTTTTTTATTATTAAGGTTAAAAATGTCATTTAATTAAATAAAAGTTTGTGATAATTAGACATTTTAAAATTGTATGTCATTTTTATTGCAGACATTTATTTTGGAATGCATAAAATATTTTCAATTGAATTGTCATTAAATACCAATCAAGTTTCACAAATGTTCATTTTTATCATTAAAGTTTTTTTATGCATTTTTTAATTAATAAGTTCTAAAAATTGGTGTCAATTTTGTGAAAATAAGGCTAATTTGTGTCACAATCTGAAAATGCAATAAGATTTGTACTGTACAACTTGAATTACAAAAACCACTAGCCATCCCGCCCCTGAACATGGTTTTTCGACAAAGTTAGTTTGACAACCATCACACATAACGTCTCAGTAAGAAACCAATTTAAGCTTTGTTTGATCAAATTAATACATCGTTGAAGCATTGATCAAAAATGAGAACTACGGCTTCCCCTAGGGCTGGGCCAGCATGGGCAGCGGCATCAGGGCATTAACTCACGACTAGGCTAGCCTCGACAACGACCCTAGAGCATCAACTCACGACAACACCAGCTATAACTAAAAAATTTAAGGAAAATCTATAACCAAGAGATTTTTAACCATGAACATAGGTATAACATCGCACGTATTTACCGATCATCTGTCGTTAATTCTATTTACTTGTTCCTATTTACTTTTACTAATTTCCTTTATTATTTCCCCATTTCAAAACCTGTAGTTATTTATTTCTTTTTATAGCAACACATTTATCCGATAATGAAATAAAAACTAAACGAAAACTGATTAAACCCAACAACTAACTATATTTGTTTTTATTTTGTAAAATATTGTGATAACACTTGAAACTTGTTCGTTTTCTTCATCATTATTCGAGTCAAATTTTACAATAGAAATTATATTTGATTATCATAAGAAAATAAATCTATGTTTTTTTTCCGCATCAAACTGTAATGATTTAAAGCAAATAAGCTAAACATAAAAAAAAATCAATATCATTGTTGAATATTTTAAATTTAATATTAGGGATGCAAAATATTGATATGAACTTGTTACAAAATGTCTTTTTTAAACCTTATTTGAGAAATAAGGTTTAAAACGCAACTATTTAAATACAACAATCTACTTTACAAGTAATTAATAGAGATTGTTGTTGATTTAGAGTGAACATGTCTTGGATTCTACTGTATGCTAAATGAATTTTGTTTTTGATTTATTATAAACGATCTGTTAACAATATGACTACTACTTTTACCTTAATAAAAACTTTTAATAATTAAAAACCGTTGACTAAAGGTTTTTGATATTATCGCAAGTGCACATTGGGTGCGGATTTATTGGTCGGTAACATTAAAATAACTTACCAAAGGGCCTTTGGCCTAATGGTATCGTAACCCTTGGCCTTCTAGGAGATCAGAGGTTCAAACTTCACCATACGTGAGGAGGGTGTGTGAGTTTATTTGTTGCATTTGCCGTATATAAATATTATATACTTCAAAAAAACAAAAAAAAAAACATTAAAATAATTTACTTTTTTTTTAAATTGGGACATTTTTAAACGCTTTCGTCAAGGGCATTACAAACCTCAGAACCAACCCCGATACTTGATTCAGTCGGTTGTAAAAGAAGTACTACAAGTAACTCCAAGACTCGCAAAGGTAAAAAAATAGAACTAAAACATAGAAGACTCCAAAATTCACGTTGGAACTAAGTTACTCCTCTATTCTTTCTCTACACATTCTAAAAAGCTAACCACAGAATGGCCTTAAGCCAAAGCTAAACCTTCCGGTTACTGGACTGATATTTCAGTATGTTCCAACAAGCCACCAAAGACAAGACTGTTTGGTCTATCGTTCGTCGTTTAGTGTTCGCTCGAACCGTCTACCACCTCTAGCAGGAAAAGAATAATTGCATATTAAAAAATAAAAGAAGATCCTCTGACATGGTGGTCCAAGCTGATTGGCCTTACCATGAAGCCTTCCCCTAACGTGACCCGTACTAAGCTTGTCTGGAATCTTCCACCTCTCCCCCCCCCCCCTTCCGCTTTCTTTCTTCTCCTCTCCCCTTCTGAGCTTTGCTCCTTTTTGGTGGTTGCTTCGGTTTAGCTTCCTCCCGAGTGCTGTCCTCGGTTTTGCTTCCTGTTTTTTATAAAAAAGTTTAAAAAATCCAAAAAATTTGTCTTTACTTTCTTTTTTTCTTGATTCGAGGGGCCGCCCCCCTCTATATCCAAAAAAAAAAGCTAACCACAAGGTTGGTGCCTGATTGGTTTGAGCTTGGGCTCCAGAGGTCGAAAGTGTCTGGAGGTCACAGGTTCAAATCCAAGGAGGAATAAAAATCCCTTTGTGGCCACGGAGGTTCAAATGCGGTGACTCCGGTGCAAAGGAGGTGGTCGCTTGTCATTTAATAACTCTTTATGAGGTGCACCTAGGCCCACAAAGTGTCTCGGCAAAGGGGCAGCGCCTTAGTGAGCCTCATGAATATGCCTAGCCTAGGCTTTAAAAAGTCCAAGACCTTGAGCCTTATGAGCCTCGGAGTGTGCTTTTAACAACTATGACTGTTAATAGGATTTTGCAGCTAAACACAAGTAGGCAAGTAAATAGTGTAAGCAGTCTACATATAATGTAGTCAGGCAGCAGAAATAAAACGTACAGATGGATCATATAGTTGTATACCAAATTACCAATTAAACTGAATTTCCAACATACCTTGTATACAATGGCTCATTAGAAGTTAGAAAGTTCCTGCCTGTCTGCATATTCACATAATTTCTCATTAAACACAACCTGGGGATCTTTATGAATCAGAACCCCATCTTCCCCATAAGCATCCTTCAAGAAAACAACCCAATTCATCTCGGTTCCTGCCAAGTAAAAACTCCGAGGCTGTTTTAATAGCATAGAATAAGTATGCTTTGTGAGACTCAACTCCTCTTTGAACTCCACTATATGGTGAATCGATGCTCGTTTCTCCAACGTCAAGCTCAAGAACTCATGAAGAACCCCTACCCTGTACTTCTCGGCCTCCAAAGTCCACAGATCCAAACTCGCCCCATCCGAATAAGGGGAAACAAGAGGAAGAGTATTCAACAAGTTCAACTTCCTCTCATCTTGTTCATCCAAATTCAACAATTTCCCATGTTTCACCTTGAACTGAAATGCCTTTTTCGCTCTATCTTCATCAACCATGAACTGTCGCTCCAATGTGCTGACAGCGAGCTTCTGATCCCAGTTCACAAGCTCAAGAATTCTCTTCCCATCTTCCTCGACAACCGTATTGAAATATTCTGGATATTTTCTCACACGGTCTCTGAAATCTTCAGGAATTCCAAACAACAACCTACAGTGATAGATCTTGCTCAAAGGAATCCGTTTCTTGGCAGACATCATTAGCAGCTTCCTGACAACATCAATCCTCTCCTTTTCCATTTCATCCATGATCATCTTCTCTTCTTCCAGCAATGACTCCATGAAATCTGTAAACCCGAACCAGATTTTATCATTGGAGTGGCGGTATGTGTGGAAAATGAGTGGGTGGCGCTGGATGAATTTAAGTACTTTGCGGCCACGAGGGAACCCAAGCTCACGGTGGAGTTTTCCAGCATCATCGAGGCAGAGGACTTGTTGTGGCTGTTTCGAGAGATACTCCTTGGTTTTGATGAAGAAGCGGAAGTGATTGTCACGATGGAGGACCTTCTCGAAGTGAGGAATACATTCAGATTCATGCTGGACATGCTTGGTTCTTGCTGATTCTTTCTTCTTGCGTTTTTTCTTCTGGGATTTGGGGGTTTTGGTGATTAGGAATGAAGTTGAGTAAGCACGAATCATAAGGGTGGAGAGGGAACATGTCCTAGGGTCAGGGCTAACGAGGGAAGTGAATTCCTGTAGTAACTGCCTGTTTTTCATGGCAGTGGTCACAGTTGAGAATAGATGCCGAAACGCCATTGACAATGCTATTGCCTCTTACGAAATTAAAAGTATAAAAGGATTCAGAAACTCCTGTATATGATATGAAATCAGCAACAGGCTATTCAAGAAGTAAACTCACCGCAAAAAATGAAAATGGCCGGAGTATCCACTTTGGAGACTGGTTAGGGTTTAAGCAGAGGTGGCAAAAATGGGCAGCTGGGTCAGATTGAGCAACGGGTTAGGGTCCAAATGGGTAGTTTTCAACGGGTCAAACAGGTTTTGGGTCAGGTCAGGCCACTAACACTTTTTCCCTTTGGAAACCAAGTCTTCTTTTTTATCTACAACGAAACATGAAATATTATAAAGAAGCAAAGAAGTAGATAAGAACATGAAATAGCCATTTCAAACTAAACCACCAAAAAGCATTACTTTTACCATCTTTGTAAAATAGTCTTACATAAAAGAATCCACCTTTGAAGCTTAAAAAGTCGTCTACTCCAAATGCAAACAATTTCATTTCCTAGTACTTTGCAAAGCATCTTATTAGCTTAACACATAACTTATCAAACCAATTACCAAGTTTTTGAAGAAAATCGGTAAGTTGATCTTAAGCTAAAATCGAACTTATTCTAAACTCACTTAAGCTCAGTCATTAATCTGTATTAAGGTAATCGGTAAGTCGATCACTTTGAGGACAAGGTAATCTCAAGATTAATCTGTATTATAGAAAAAATTTCAATAAAATTAAATTCAAACCAATTATCCCAAAATTAGTTCCAAGTATATGTAGGAAATAACCAAAAACTTACTTTTCAAATCCCCTCGATAACAAAATTACCTACAAATTAATTACCAAAGCAGAAAGGCAAAAGAATTTATTCCTGAATCGTGAAACACATTTCTGGTTCTAAAACAAAGATTCATCCCATTAAGGATTTTAAACTAGACATTAAAATCACTCAAGAATTTGCTTTCCTTATCTTTATAAAGCAATCTTACATTAAAGAACCGACCATTGAAGCTAAAGGGTTCTCATCAAGATGCACACAATTTCATTGTTGTTTGCATCCATACATCTTTCTAGATTACTTGGTAAAGCATCTTAGTTTTAAACTTCATCACAATTTTTATTAAGACAATTACTAAATCTTCAAAGTAAAATAATCAATCATCTCAAGATTTTAGCACAAATAAACAATTCTTTTCGTCAAGCCCATTTATAACTTCCAAACATGAAATTTTTGATACTAAACCAAGTTTAATTGACAGGTCACCAGAAACTTAGTTTTTTAAACCCCAACAACCTGCTGTTACTAAGAGGTACATTGAGGTGTTACTACCTTTACCAGAGAACTACTAAAGGAATCAACCCTGGAAGTTGAATGAAAACCATCTTTATTTAGGTCAATGATAATCTACTCCATTTCCTCTAAAAAAGTCATTTTGATATAGCAATCTTTGGGTACTATAGAAAAGGAGTAATAACAATTTTTATGTAACAGAATCTAAATAGTCAGGGGCTGTTTACCAACAATTGTTGGTAAGGGATGTCTGGAATAAAAAGCCCAGTCAAGAAAATAAATGTTTACCTAGTGTTATGTATTAAGCGATGGCTGACAGAAAATTGCCATTATAACCCTTTGTATGATTAAGTGCTGAATGAAATGTGACTGCTTACCAAGTGTTCTGTATGATTAAGTGTTGAATGACTATTATTTACATCTTTCATAAATTAAATATTGCATTTAGCAACTATTTCTTTAATGTTGGTATACTTGCATTTAGAAAGAACCTGAATACAAGTAGAATCTCAAACTTTTTTGGTCTAAAAAAATGAAGCGTGCATGCCATTATTCATTTTGTTCAAGAGGATACTCTGCTGTGAAAACTGTAAAATTGGCTTGGTGAAGGCAAAATCTATAACATAGGGATCATATTATAGTATCTTCCATTGTATATTAATTAAAAAAAGATTGATAGCAAATCTTAAATTTTTGTGATCATATTAATAATATCCTTCGGGTCCAACTAAAGTTATGTCTTGTGTGCTACATTCAAGTTGTATTGACATACACCCTCTCATTACATACAAGTATAGACAAAAGACATGACCATACTAACGCATTTCATATCAGAGAACATGATGAACAAGCGAAGCATGTCACCAATATTATCCTACTCTCAGTCTCACATATGTGCACCAAATGAATCCTCTAACCTGGATTAAAAAGATTAACCAAGCGAATATCATGCCCACCTGAAATACAAAGGATCATTATCTTCAAGGTAGTCCTAATGGTGGGGGAATATTTGATGTGCTAATAAAATTTTCCAAATATATGCATGCATAGCTCCAATGTATAAAACCAAACCAAGGTGTGGTCAGGGGAGGGTAAGATATAGGCAGACTTTACCTCTACCCTGAATAATACTAATGAGTAAGCAAACAACAACCTACAAAATTAACCTAATCTAAAGCATTTACCATTTACCAAATCACCAATAAGCAAA